CACCAGCTTGAACGGATCATAGGACTCGTGCTCCTCAAACAAAGCGAGTCACGAGCATGGTTCCCCGTTGGCAATGCAAGCCATTGCGGATCAAGTCTGCGGACTGCACTGGCTATTCACTTGCTCTCGCCATCTTTGGTCACCGTAGATCATGACAACATGAGCCAGCGAAGCACAGCGATGCGTTGGCACTTAGCATGACATGGAGCGGCACACTCGCGTGCATTCCACTTGCGCGTCCTCGGTGGCTTTCTGGACCTCTGGTGGGGTGTAGGCCGATGTGGTTGTCAATGTTTTGGCCTTGAGCAGAACACAGTAGGCGGCCAAGAAGCTACAGAGTTTAGCGTAGATCCCAAAGAGTGAAAGCAGCTGGCCGTTCCAGCCCTTCCTCCCCAAGAAACTTCTTCGACATGCCCCTCAAGCTCGCAAGACCACCCCAGTCCAATTGCGGTATCTCGAGACTGCGCCCTTGCAAGCAGCGGGACGGTATAAAGAACGCGATGTTACTGGAGAAAACTCCACCGCACCAAAGAGGTTTCCGTGCAACCGCCCCCCCTTTGCACCTGCCACGCACACCTCGTGCTGACACCAGCCACTCCGCCTTCCCATTTTGCATAAGAACCCCATACAGTATCCCCTGGTGTGTCTGTCAGCACACTTGCTGGCGAATTCCTGACAGAGTGTCTTCGGTGCCCGTGAGTTCAAAGACAGATCTCCCCACCAATCCACAATCCGCCCCCATGCCCGAAGAATGAAAGTGCTAAGTTGATGTGACGCGTCAACGGCTCAGCAACACTCGATAATAGTGATGCACCGGCTGCCCTGCAAGCAAACAAACCCATCAGGATCCCGACCTTCATTCCTTCAATCGCTTGAAACGTCTGAGCGGGGCACGACGCTTTGCATTCTTTGCTGAGATTGATCATGATGCATGACTGCCTTTGTACGCGCATTCACTTGTCGGCTTGATGTTGCCTATCGCTGACATACCTATGCAAAAGCAAGTTCTGATGGTAAGTCCACGACCTGACCAAAATCAATGAGCTTCACCACGAGCGGTCGGCGACCGGCGACCATGAGGTTCTCAAGCTTGATGTCCTGATCTCTCTCTTCATCACCAAGCAAATCAGTCTGCCGCCAGCAGCAATATTTAGGTGGGCCGCACGATGTGCAACCCCTCGGCGGTGGCAATGCACGACGGCCATTGTCACCTGTGTCAGCGCCTGACGATGCTAAAGCCGAACGCCATCGAATACCCGAGAGACAGAGAGAACAAATGCCGCCTCTCGAGCATCTCGCTCCGAGAAAGGCTGCCGACGACGACGCAGCATTTCCGAAAAAAGATCGCCGCACTCAAGCAGCTGCCTTGCGAGAGTATTCAACAGCTGCAGCCTCTTCTAAGTGGAGTAGAAGGCAAGCTAGCAGCAATTAATGTGCCATCATGGTGCATAACAAGGTAAATGCGCAGCGTCTGCTGCGACACGGCAGCAACCCGCAGCTGGACGATGTTCGGATGGCCGCCGAGACAACCCAAAATTTCAGCTTCTTGCAGCATGCGCCTGGCCAGCGAGACGGTCAGAAGCTGTCATGTGCACGTCGATACGAGTCCGGCTTTCCCCCGGAGCTGATTCCTGGGTCCGACCATGATAAACAATCTGTTGCCTTCGACAACTTCAGGAGGGCCTTGACAAATGATTTTTTTTCACGAAGGCTGGGATGTGAAGCCAAATTAGCTCTGCTGGGGTATTCTTTTCCTGTCCTGTTCTGAGAAAATCCAATGCTTCCGCACCCCTGCTCGCACACCAACCCAACCAGTCCCGCAAATCGGCTGCCTCGAATTCAATTATCTTCGCAGAAACATGTACGGCTTAAGAAGGCTGCCCAAGCCTTAAAACGACGTGCTGCGGACAGTTGGTCATCACCGCAATCCGCTCCTTGGTGCAAAGGCTTCCTCCCTGCTTCAAGCCAGAAACACTCTTTGTGCGCCGAATAGGAGAGCCATTTTTAACTCTTCGACCTCTTCAATGCTTCCAAGCTGCTGTGCTGAGGACTTTGACTGCCACACCTTGCCCATCCAAAAGGCATCTGTAGACAGATCCGAAGCTGCCTTCTCCTCATCACTCCAGGGTCAAAGGTAAGGAGCATTACCCGACGACCTGCCAGCACCCACGAGGCCTAGAAGGCCTTCAATTTGATAGCGCTCACCATTGATCGTGAAGCCATCCTGCCAGCTCTCAGTACACCGAAGACTCTGGGGAGGTCTCCTCTGTCCTTCCTCCTGTCCCGATCCCTTGCATTTGACATCATCTGACTGAGGTCCTCGGTCTCCTCGGTGGCCCAGGTGAAAGCGCCGCCCAGCTGCAGCTGCAGACGCTGAAGCCACTCCTTAGCAGGCTCGAGTCACTAGCCCCTCAGAAGGCCTCCGCGGCCTCTGCTGACAGACACTGCAGACAGAGTGCCGTGATCGCGTCTGCGCTGTCAGCCTCCTGGCTCTCGATTGCACCAGGCATCCCCATCACCTTGGCGGCCTTCGCACAGTACGGCTTGGATCTACGGTGACAGAATGGGCCGTGTGCCAGGAGCGGAGCTTTGAAAACTGAAGCGCAAAACACGTGCCTGTGCAGCTTGCAGAATCTTGATTGTTGGAACGCTGACGTTGACTCTGTCATCCATCGTCTATGGCTTTTGGCGAGCTCCACTCTGACACTAACTCTTTGTGAACTTAGTCTAACCGCAGGCTGCATGAAGCAAGATTGACGTTACGTTGATTTGTCCGGGCAATGCTGAACATGAGTTTGACGAAACCGGCACCTAGGTAGCCTCGGTCTTGTGCCAAAGCAGCAGCGAATTCACGGAGTCGCGCGATGTCCGTATCTCGAAGCTCAGACTGCACATGGAGCTGATCTTGCCCTGGGAGCGCAGCGGCTGCCACGGTCATCCGTATCTGAGCTCAAGAAGAGCACTTCTGTGACGCCTCAGGGCGTGCGGCCTCGGCCGGCTCCTTCTGAGCATCTAGCACCGTGAAGCCGGCTCAAAGCTTCCGCCAACTCTGGCAGAGGCAGCTCTTCTCCTCACGAACTTTGGCAGAACAAAAAGAAACGCTTCTCTGAAAGCTCTGGGACATCGACTCAGGGCCATGGCGAAAAGCTCATGCACCGACGGAGCATCTCCTGCCACAAAGAAAACGCAAGCATTCGAAGGGTTGCACAACCCCAGAATCTCAGACCGACCTGACGGTTGAACTGGGGCGCTTTCCGTGCCCGACCGAGGAAAGACTCGCTCGAAGGAGCTGTGACCTCATCTGATTTGTCTTGAGGCCGGCCGGAAGGTGGTGGAATGTTCGAAAACACGTGTTTGCTTGGCCCCTGTGGACTGCCTTTTACCTTACAGCCTTGAATTTTAGCACCGTTCCCAAGGCCCCTAAGGACTCAGACAAGGCACCTCGCGACATCAAGCACTTGTGACGAAGAGGGCGCGAGGTCTCACGGCTCAACTGTGGTCTGTGGAGCTCTTGAACTGCTTGCGGTAGTTCGATCCACATACTGGCGCGAAACTTGTCTAAGTGAGGGCACAGCCATGCACAGTTGCACTGTCTGCTGCTCAACTACATGAGATTGCTGGATCACATTCGTCGCTGCCTGGCACGTCGCTGAAGCAATCGTCTGAAGGTCACGAAGAGCAATCTTCATAACAACATCATGCACTCACAGGCGACTCGCAGCAAGAAAGGTTCCTGGTTCGCTGGTGCAAAGCGAGCATACGAGGTCTCTCGCTCTCTCGACGTGTCACCACTTCGGCCTCAGACCGGGGGGTTTCCCTCTGCGACTCTCTCCTGTAGGCCGCATCTCATGTGCAACGCCTAAGCCCCATTGGCTGGGACCAAGTTTAAATCTGAAACGGCAACATCACGTGCTGCAAGGGTGTTCTCGCTGCGCAGAAAGGCCTGCACACAGGTCCGCCACAGAACAACTGTGCGATTTGTTTGGTTCCCTTCTCTCGCTCTCTCTCTCTCTCTCTCTCCCTCTCTCCCTCCCTGTCGCACTCTCTCTATCCTGCACTCATCGGTTAGAACCCCCCACCCTCTATGGAGCCGCGCAGGTCGGACCCAAAAGTCGACAGGTTGTGCGTTGGCCGAAGTCTCCCGGCAACTTCTTCAAGCAGATGAAGGAATTGGGCCTCAACCGCCGGATAACGAAACATGGATTGTCCACAACATTGAGTGGCTTCATGCCACGAAAGAGTTTGGCACTGCGGTTGAGGGGCTCTCAGACACAACACGAAGCTCACCAAAACAAGAACACTCTGTCACTCGCCCGCCGACCGACTTCTACTTCCATGTATTGAAGTGGAAATGACAAACCCGGGGTACCTCCCCAAGTCCAGCACACTCGAGGCAGGATGGGGGAGCCATGGGTGGGAAGTAGAGGCATGTGGCTCGACAGCTTGGCGATGGGCCGGGTGTACTGGCCATGCAGCAATCTGCGATGAGGCATTAGTCGCGGTGTTTTCAATCTGCGCCCTGTCTGGTGGCCGCATGTTTGCAGCCCAACGAAACATCGGCACAGTTCCACATGACTGCAGTGCTTTGCTACAGCCACCAGAATATGCGAATTTCTGGGACATGAAACATTTCACTGCGCAGCACCACACTCAGACCACCGAGTCGTCAGGGAGTCTTGGCTGTAACCTCCATGTGGCTCCTGCCACAGCACGTCTGCTTTCAAAGCAAGCACGCCTACGTTGTGAAACCAACTTCCCATGTGCCATCGTCAGGGAAGCGAAGTACATGACATGCCAATGTCATGTACGGCATATGCAGGATGGACAAAGCCCTCAGCCTGCTAGCAAATTCACCTACCCGACGCAGCGCACAGCATGTTCTGTACGCATGTCGAATTACATGCACACATCCCACGTCCCTCTTTTGATTCAAGAGGCATGGCTTCTGAGTGTTTGGCCTAAGACAAGAAACCTCGAAAAATCACCAAGTATCCAGAACTCTAGCCGTGAACATGGATGTGGTGGTGATGTACTGTCGTGACTGACACACGACCAGGCGTGGCATGTAAATCGTGCCAGCCAAGTCCACCCATGTAGCCGTGCGAGCATCCGAGCTGGTATTTGTCGCAGCAGTATCCTTTCTTGTGCCTGGACCAACCACGATGCCAGTTGTCGAACCCAGCCGCACAGTCATAAGGCTCTGCATGTATATGGTCCACCATACCCGTCACATGATGAACATGGTGGTCGTTTCCCTCACAGGCCAGATTGTACTTGTCACAACAGTACAGCTTCTTGCCAGATGACCACTTCTGCCAATTGATGTAGTCTGATGCGCAGTCAATCTGCATGGATCCTATGGACTCACCTTCATCACTGTCGCATCCAAGCTCATGCTTGTGACAGCAGTAATCCTTCTTTTTGTCCTTAGACGAAGCAGCTGTGTCTTCAACAGAACGCAGGTAAACACAACTTCCGGTGTGGCTACTTGCACAGACAAGAGTCAGACCACCCGGCATGCCAGTTGGACAGGCCAGCTTGGCAGTCAAAAGGCTCAGAGACGGGACAACCACGTCCGTAGCCGTTGCAGCACCATTCCCTTACTCAGCGGAAGCTTTGTCCAGGAACGTCCACTGAAAGCGTTGAATTACTTCAGGCCAGGCTGCTGCTTTGCAGGAGACCAAAGATGCTCCCAATCCTCATAGCCGGCTTTGCAATCAAAGACCTCGGCCGGCTCCGTCCTCCGGTTCCCACGCCAGATCACATCACGGCGCAAGACTGCGCAAGGCACTCGGAACTCCTGCAGTAGTGGAACTTGTCGCAACAGTAGTCCTGCTCGGCGTCAGACCTGTGATAGCCATTCATCTTGGCCCGTGCCGGGCCCTGATATGTTCTTGTAGATTATGTAGCTAGCAGCTAGCAACTACTGTAAAATTGGCTAGCGTGCAGGTCTTCAAAGCAAACTGACGACAAGTAGCCACTCGTCTTCTTTCGATCGCTCGCAGGTGAAATGTTCCGCACAACCTTTGCTTTCCTGTGCACAGCACCTTAGAACACGGAAGAATATCAGTTCACTTCCTGGATCCACGCTGTCACGCCTTCTGCAAAAAGCTCTCTGCCGCCTCGCAGCCACTCCTGCTTCGATGGAGACCACCCCCTGACAAGGCAAGAAATGCGCGCGCGCACAGAGCTCTTGCTCGACTCTGGCTCGGGCCTCTGCCAGTTCTCGAAGCCCTCGTCGCAGTCAAAACTCCCGCCCAACACAGAGTCGCAGCCGCGCTTCTCATGGTGACAGCACCATTCCTGAAAGCAGGGGTGCTTGAGGAAGGGTGACGGGCTCCTGTTGCCAGAAACGTCGTGCCTTCTTGCTCTTGGGCCAGAGTGTCTTCGAATCATGGAGTCCGGCCTTGACAGTAAACGGACAAATCACGTTGGACTGTGCGCCTTGTGCCAGGAGCCGCAGTAGGACACGGGCAGAACAATCGAACGGCTTTGTCACAACATCCTGCGTATCTCGTATGCTTTCTTCATTTCATGGTGTCCTGGGGACATATCTGCTGTAACGGGCCTTCGCGCATCCGCGATGATAGTGCTTGCAGCACCAGTCTCGCCGGCCTCGCACAGTAACGCAGATATTGGAACAGTGCAGAAGAGTAACTCTGCGACACTGATTGCTACACTCACCTCTGGCCTTTCGACCACCCAAGTATGTCGGCAGTGCCACCCTGTCACATGCTGAAGATATTGCGATACATATCGTGAAAGACACTGGCTGAGCCGAAAGGAGGTGCAGCCTTGCACTCGTACGGCGCAGAGTAGTGCGGGCAGCCCACGCCGTACTGAAGGCAACACCAATCCTGTCTCTCCTGGTCAGAAGGGGCGAGGCATGTTCAACAAAGTGGCTAATCTGCGAACGTTTTTTCGACTGCGAGGCCGGTCCTGAGCCCAGGTGCTTGGCTTGTTCACCGCACTGGTCGTGCAACTGTAAGTCTTTGGGCATCCCTGCACCAAGTGACTCTAAGGCCACACATGCAGCACCGGCTTCTGAACCAAGTGAGTCATTGAATGAAGACAAATTCTAGAAGTTGTTGCAATCCGTGTCTCTCGATACAGCACTGTATTGAATGCACATGATGGCCATGGACGACCTGCCGATGGGGGGCCTCGTTAGCACGGCAAGCAGACTCTGCCAAGAATTCATGCGCATTTGTCAACTGCATTGCTACTGACAATGGTAGCCTGAAGTCAAGGGAGTGATAAGTGATTAGTGGAAACCATGAGGACGGAGGTAGGACACCTTGAGTCAGCAAGCCGCGGGACCAGTAAAGGAGCGGGGAGTGGCAACCCTCAGGTAAAACCTAAAACATTAAAAGAATCTGTGAGGGAGACAAAGTGTTGAGCTTGCAAGCAAGGGCAACCCTTAAAAGTAGGGGTCTGTCCAGCCCTGAGCAATGCACAGCATGCCTACACCTTACAGGATTCAGGGAGTGGAAAAAACACAAAAGTTGCTTAACCCGAAAAACGAACGCTCGAGGTCCGAAAGGACAGAGGTCTCCGACTAAATCACATACCCATCCCTGGAGTGGCAGAAGAGAAACACGGACGGTATACCTGCGGAGTGACGACCCGTCAAACTCGAAAACAATGGGACGCAGTAGGTCCGTAGGTAGAATTCAACTGTCAAACTTCATCGGTGACATGCGAGGCTGGCAAGCCTTCAACCTAATTCAATGCCATCAATCAACATTGGGAAAACCTAAGCTAGACGGAGCGGTGTGTTTGACAGAGGCATCGTCTTCCATCCGACACCACTACATCCTTGAAGACAAAATATATGCGGTTTAGTTAAAAGAAAAAGATGAGGACAGGCGCAAAGCTGCATGGCCTTGCCCACTGTCTTGCAGCACCAAGACTTCTTGTGCTCGGTCCACTTGTGCTGCCAGTGAGACAGGTCAGCCTGGCATGGGTGTCTGACGACCCACAATTACCACTATGAAGCACGTTGGAGCACTTGCCGCCAGGACACTGAGCAGTCATAGTTCATGACTTTACACCCCATCTGGAAATGCGCACAGCAATATGCCCGTTTAGAGGAAGACCAAGTGTTGTACGAGGTCTCAAAGCCTGCAACAGAGATCACAGGAACATTGCCACGACCTTTTATCGCTGGACGTATCATCAAGCCTCTCTGGAAGCCAGTACTTGCAGCATTTGCAGGCCCGACCCCTGAAACAGAGGGCCCAGCCTTCTCGACAATGATAAGCTTGACAACCTCGACCAGAATGTTGGCAACAGAAGTCCTCAAGGAAGCTTGGCTCAGACAAAACGTCCAACTGTACCTTCCCTTCCAAACTGGGGATGGGTCAACTGGGTCTCTAAGGCCTCCGCGCACATGACTTAGCCAGTGGACAGAAGCTCTGATGAGCAGACAAGATTTGCCACGAGCATTCATCCTAGACAGTCCGTCCTAAACATGGGTCCCCAAAGGAGTTTAGGCTGTTTACTTCCTTGCGTCTGACACATGGGCAACAGTCCTGCTTGGCACTGCTCCAAGCATTTGACCAATGGGAGTAGCCAGCATCGCAGTGATAAGGTACAATCACATGGTGATGAATCACGACCTCAGCTTGGATTTTCCAGAGAGCACAGAACTAAAGCTAGGACGATCATCCGTCATTACGGACTGCATGCGGCCATTGCAGTTTAACTGACTAGCTGACGGGGCCAACTGCTTCTTGCTCTGGCACATCCTCATGCTGCTTCTCCATCCCCAACACGAATCTCCCTCTCGACTGCTACAATAATCAACCTTGCTCTTCGACATTTCCTGTATTGGGTGCACACGTGACCCGAGCACTGCAATCCCTGTTTGCAGCATCTTTAATTACTCAAGACGAGAACGAACATGGAAAGATAAGGATGCGACGGTGCTCCCGCAGTGGATGCCAGGAATGCCACAGCACCAACTGCGCTTCTGTGAGTCCCACATCTGCCCAAGATGCCCAAAGGCACAGGATGTCATCATGCACAAAGCCCTCCCTGCCCGTGCAAGTGCCATGCACAGATGTTAGCTAAGTGCTTGGTGTCCCCGGCAGCGCCTCGGGCCGGCCAGCACAGTCCAGTGGGACGCTGCCAACATCCTGCCATGCTACTCCAAGAGCCGAGAGTCACACCGAGTCACACCGTCTCCGCGGGACGCTACAGTAAACAGCGCCTCCTCACTGGAACCAGCGTGTAGTCCGTGGGACAAGGCAGCTTCCTTGCTGAAGATTGGGCAGCCACCCCCACCACCACCACTACTATTACACAGACTTGCTACCACCGCTATTGCCACTGCTGCGGCTGCCGTTGCCGCTGCCGCTGCCGCTGCCGCTGCCGCTGCTGCTACTACTACTACTACTACTACTACTAGTAGTACGCCAAGGAAGTGCCGTTCAATATAACCTGTCAGCCCTCTGCACGCGAGTCCAGCCCAAGCATCTGAGGCTTGCAGGGCTGGTTAAGGCTCCAGTATCAAGTGTCGCAACCGGGCCGCATGCTGCCCTGCTACTTAAGTAGCATGTCAGCAGAGGGTGTATAGTAGCGGACCGAGTCACTGAGCCACCAGACATCCCAAGTGGCTTCGCGGTGTTACATTTCCGGAAACATGTGACTCTCAGCGTGTGACTATGCGAACAAGCAACTTGCAGACGTAAAGTGTTCTGATATTCATGATGAGTTTACCTATGCTCTCCGACGTAGTGCCCTTCTTTTGGAAACCTGGTTTCTTCATTACTGCGTCCTTGCCATAAACCTCGTCAACCCAAACGGGAGCTGCATCGGAGATTAGAGGCACACATTCGATTTGAGGCCTTTCCGCACTTTACCAAAGCATCCCGCATCCCTGCCTTACCAGGACGAGGACGCTTATAGAAGCTACATAACACGTGGGAGGAAGAGTAGAATTCAGGCGGGATGCTTTCCATGGCCCTCCTGTATGTAAAACACATAGAAGTAACCTTGAATCCTATAATTTATGGTAGCACAACCCTAAAACTAACACCTAAATTTTCAATCCTACGTGCTGGAACTGAAGGATCTCGCGAAGTTCTTGATCAGACACGCAATGTGGCTAAAGAGCACCAGCTTCTGCACACAAACATATCATAATTTATCATAATGGGATACACCACGGCTCACGATATAGAACCGACCAAGTCACTGGGCGACCAGACACCCAGGTCTGCATGTCGCCTGGCAGAACCTCCGATGTGGATCCAACATCACTTGCACCGCCCTC